CTACTAAACGACACGTATATATATATATATATATATATATATATATGGCATCATGTTCGCTCATATTGCGGATAACAGAGACTGTTTTTGTGGGGGTCTGAAAGATAAGAGCACAACCTTTGGCCTCGATGTACAAAACCTCTTCCGCTCGTCCAGTGACTCTAAAAGTCACTTTAGACTACCGTTTGGGAAAATGGTCCTATCAATTCTTATGTGTATATATATCTTGAAAGAGATAATAAACGTATATCGACTCTCATGTCATTCATAATTTTAAAGGAACATATATCATGGATACTTTGCGTATCATTGCAATCGATATTCTGAATAATAAAAATAAATTGAAAATAAACGCGAAACAAAATGCAAAATTAAATAATATTAGTTAATAAGAATATTAATATAAAGAATACCCATGGAACATCTTTTTCATGATATGAAATATATTAATTATAAAATTTTATAGGTAAGACAAGAGTATATTGGTACGAGATAAAGAAAATTTAGTTAATATCAAGTGCTACTAAATCAAAGCTGATCGCATGCATTTCTTTGTCGGTACTGACTATTTTATTGTTGCAACAATGAAGAAAGGTCCTTCTCTCTCAGCCGTATATATTTGGCGCGTATATTTTCTTCATTAAATGATTAATCGGGGTCGCGGCTCTGCATCTCCTCATTGTAGATAATATGGAGCGACTAATTCCTTTCCATTGATCTTTAAAAATTATTTATTCAAAATTCTGCTTTAAATAACACCTTCACGGTTATTTTATGTTTTGTAATTATTCAGTATTTTATTTGGTATTCTTCTCAAATAAAATCAATGCTAATTGATAAAGAAAACATTTATTTGTTATTAATTAATGCGTGAAAAGTACTATTATTTAAATAAAATAAAATTTTGAATTATTTTTTAAAGAAATAATTTGGTTACTTCCTTAGGAAAAAGTTCTTTAAAAAGTTTTTATATATAATTCTACATAATTAGAGGAACAATTTTTAGAAATTCGTTTTTAAAAGGCTACATTAATTAAATAATCATTTATTAATTTTTTTTTAAATATTCAAAGACTATAACATATTAATCTTTTACGATAATATCGGCACCGATAATATCGGTATTAGATCATCCTGTATAAATGCGTATTTTATTTACATTATTTTACATTATTTTACAGAGGTTGGTCAAGGCGAATTGTACTTGGACCTTTCGTGCAAAAATATGTTTTTAAATAGGATGGACTGAACGACAGTGGCAGATAATCCAATAAGCCTGACCTTTCCAATTCGATTAGGTAATGTCAATAAGGTCGGCTCAATGTTAAATGCTCGATATACCGCCTTCAGGGATGATATTGCGGTAGCTTGAATGAAGAATGAAGTCATTAAATCGAATCACACGCATTCCTTGCAGCAAAAGATGTTTTATCATTTGAATTAACATAAATATATAATGTAAAATTTTTTAAAATATAAAAATTAATATTTAAATTAACTTTTAAACTAGTAACTATTAATATTTCTCATAATAAGAGAACTATGTCAAGAAAACGTTTTATAATGATACTTTTCAACGCTGCAATTTAAAAATTATTTTTAATTATATTTGGAATGGAATTATATTTGGAATTATATTTGGATGGAATAAACAATAAGTTCAGCTTAATAAAGTTGTAGAAATCTTCATGTTGCATCGGACGCTTGTTGAATAATACGGCAATTTGGGTAATTTTAAACAAGTTTTTCTCTCTGTCTCTCTCTCTCTCTCTCTCTCTCTCTCTCTCTTTCTCTCTCAATATAGAAATAAATATTAGTCACCATCAATTAGATGTGCGATGATATTTGAACTTTGTTGGATGAGTAGAGTCATGAGCGGGATCAGATCGGTTTTACGAAGCGCACGTGACATTCCTGAGGTTTTCTCTCGTGTGCCGCACGTTCATAAAGCCGATTACTCAGCGGCCGCGTGGACAATCGAGTTACGCATCAAATCGTCACGATCGACCCATATTATTTTGTTCGAGGTCAGACAATGGTCTATTAAAAACGCAAGAGCGTACGTGCAGTATGCCATATTTCATTTCGATTAATCAAGATATACAAAGACTAACCGAACAAATCCGGCACACATCGTCGAATTTAAATAAATAAATAAATAAAATCAAAGATTAGGATTACTACATATATACTTATTCTAACATGATATATAATCTTCGACAATTAAAATTAATATTTTTATCGTCCCAAGAGAGAGAATAGTTCGCGCGAAACCGTTCTCCTCGTTTTCTTTGCTCTTATTAGCCTCAATTCTCCTTCTCTTTCTATCACTCGTTCGTTCTTACTTTTTCATATATGCACGCAGTGTCCATCCGTGCGTGCGTGAGTGCGTGAGTGCGTGAATGCGTGTGCCACCACTAACGACGCGTAGATAAGAGCACGTGGTTATTTTTGTAACGCACTGGCTAGCAACAGTTTCTTGGTGTCATCACACGGTGTGCCCTACGCCTCTGTCGAATCTCGATCGATTTCAACATTCTTGCGGTTTTTATAGCCTGATTACGCGATTGTGGTTAACTCGGTTGTAAAAGTAGAACAGATTTGCAACCGAAACCAAATACCATCCACTTTAACTGGTCAGTTAAGCGCTTTTTTATTAAGCGCTTTTACATTAATTATATAAATTTATATAATCGATATTATATAAATTTACGCTATACATTGTTGAAATCTTGATTGTCATATAAGTACCACGCATTGAAAAACAAATGAGGATAAAAAAATATTAAGATGATACAAAATGATAATGATACGGTCTTCATCTTCAATAGTACGATATTTTCAAATATATTTTAATAAGACTGACTCTGAAATTTTTGCGATAATTATATAAATGCGAAATATTAATATTCTATACTTTTAATAGTTTACGTTTATGCATAATACAATTTTATGTATAATTTAAAGAAATGAGAAATGCTGACATGCTAATATTATATAGATCCAAGATAAAAGTACTGTAAATAATAATGGAAATTATTGACTTTTATTGTCTTTTATAATGTAAATTTAAAGTTAAAAATATTATTAATCTTCTGTTGTTACAGGTTTAGTTGTCCATCTCCATTTACGTGCTATTCAAAATAGTAATAGTAATATAAATCTTTGCACTCAAGTCTTAATTCTTAATTAAGATTTTTATATGTTTATAAGCGGGTGTGATAGTTAGTGTTTCGCTTGACGGTTATATAGTCTTGATCGGATATGTCGGAGCCACGGAATCAACGTCACAGTCTACCAGGGAAGCGATCGTTAAGCAAGAGGAGGGGAAAGCAGTGGCGGTAACGGCGATAAAGAGCGAGGACGTCATCGGGCACGAAGTCGGCCAGCAGCAGGAGCAGGAGCAGCAACACCAGCAACAGCTGGCATTTGTGGCGACCGAAGAGGTCGGAGAGGAAGAGAGCGGTGTGGGCGTGCTGGAGGCGGGACAGCCGGAAATGGAAAATGGCGCCATGGTCGAGTCAACTGGTGCTGAAGCAGTTGCTATTGCGGTCGCCGCCGTCGCCGCCGTCGCTACCGACGATCATACTAATGAGGATCCCAACGCCACTTACACCCTTCATGAGCTTGATTATCATCCGACACATATAATCCACGAGAGGTGAGTAAATCGGAACAAATATCCCGATTAAATATCAAAATAAATATCTTACAAAATGCCAAAATAATATAATTTAATCGCAGAATTTTTTATTCATTATAATTATCATCCCTGTAGAGATAGGATCAAATTATGTTTTTAGGTTTGTGTGGGATTTCATTTTCTTTTATATATATATATAT